AATTGGAGATACAGGAGCAACAGCTTTGGCAAAGGCTCTAGAATCCAATTCCTCTCTGACTTCATTGAATCTCCAGTCTAATGGAATTGGAGGTACAGGAGCAACAGCTTTGGCAAAAGCTCTAGAATCCAATTCCTCTTTGACTCTTAAATTATAAAATTAAATTTAAAGCTGTTCATCTTAAAAAACAAGGAGAGGAGTTAGTATTTAGTAGAAGGTTATTAATGGCTGAATATTAAATGAATTATTTTGGAAAAGACAAGGCTAATGTATTGATATTTCAGGTAGTACAATGGTTCTTGTTGGCATGAGTTGTAGTTGTTCATGATTACACATGTTATTCAAAATTCATTGAAGTTCATCATGACAAAAAAACACAATGACTTTGATGCTCATCAGGATGTGGTTAAAATGCATGAAGACTCATGTTATTGTTAATATAAATTGTAATTTATTCTATTTAAATTCTTTATTAAAAAGGTTATGCTATGTTGACATTATTCATGTTTGGTACTGCTGCATTTTGTTAACAGTTTTTGCAGTTGAGCTATTTGATCTCATTTTCTCTTGCAGCAATAAAAACTCAGAATTGATTATTTGTGGATGCACAGATAAAACAAGTTTAAACACAGTTTAATTATTGTGAGTGAATGTTCTGCTTATCACCATGAGAAGTATTCAAATACAGACTTAGCCACAATTTATAGACTTTTGAGAATGGATAGCAGGCAATGACAGGCTATACCTGAGATTATTTCTGCTATTCAACATTTGAGGGAGGGCACAGTTGTAATCGTTAGCAGTTTGCTATCCATAAGACGTAATTCTACATGAACTTAACACGATTCTGATTTACCCAATCACATGGACTTGACATGTTTGATAACTTCGTCATATTGGCAACTTATCACAAACCAAGTAATTATTAAAAGTAAAATGTCTACAAATATGTTCACGTCTCTCCGTTCGCAGAAAAAAGCACTGGTAAATCAATTTTTTTACAGTAGATGTTTTACAAACTTTATTCTTTATCTACGTTTTTTTGTCTAAGTATAAGGCCATTACTAAATGTATGTTAGTATACAACTTTCGATTGCAAGTTGATGTCCTACAGTATTATTGCCAAATCAAATATAACGTTTTTCTGGTTACTGACAAAGAATACAATTACGCCAATGAACTTGTGAAGTTATGGTAACAATCTTATTGAAAGTCACAGAGTCCTTACGGACTGAATATCCGTCAGTATTTGACTGTTGTGTTTATGAATATTGTTCGGTTAGTGTTGTGACCAATATGTGTGACTTGATAGCTTGAAACTCTTATCAGATTGGCCAATTTTTGCGAGTAAAGATGCATACATGTGAAAATTGATGATTCTTACAGTTTTATGACAAACTCGAATGTTTGTCTTTGCAGGAGTAAACTGACCATACAGTATATTATAAGACGCGTATACTTATTAAAACACGGTAGTATTCCCCAACACGCGATAGATTGATCAACAAATCTAGCAGTACAAAATCGACGAATATCTCGAGAATTATATAACTATCTAAGGATTAGTGTGCACGGATACAGTATATTGTGACCGTAAATGTTTAAGGCCGCGGCGTCACAGTTACTAATACTAACCATATATTATAAATCTTTACGAGTTGAAAGTCTCCTGTCTCCTATGCGTGATCCTTGACTCGACAGTGTAGAAAAATTGCGAGCGTTATAAGGCCAATAAATTAAGTTTAGTAGAATCAGCTGCGTTTCCTGAATTAACCGAACTAGCTCAATGTAAAAGAGACGGAGCTGTGTGAACTAGTCAAATAAGATGTATGTATAGGAGCAATGTACTGATGAATATCGTCGTAGAAAGTCAAAACAGAAAGTATACAGCAAAATGTTCATAAGGATAACGTTAGCTGTCTAAATTATGGAAGAGTTATACTATTATTTTGCAAAGTTTGGCGGTCACATGATAACACACAGTACATACAGTATAACGATAGTGTTGTATTACCTTATAATATTATTGGCTCTACATCTAAAATGCAAGTTATCCGTTTTGAAAAGTATTGGTTTTCCTAAATAATGTATGAAGCCAAATAAGGAGATATACTGTAAATTGGGGATCCGCGAAATCTTTAGTTACACTATCCGCTTTATCTCGCTTAATTTATACCCATTGAGATTTTCGTTATCCAATTTGTCTGTTCAAAGAAATAAAGACATTGTTACAATGTAATTATCACTGACTTGTAAAATAAATTTCTCTTACTAATCGAGTTTCAACAGTTCTTATACATGTTCTCTTACAAAGTTATAATATCAATCGAGTTTTCCTTCTTATTTATCAAGGCAGAATATCAATGGTGCCTTTCAGAATATGCAACGTCGTTAATCACACGCTCTGTGAAACTTATTATTAACAGCGCCACCAGAGAAATAAACAAGAAAATGTATGTCGCGGATCGATGAAGAAGAAAAGAGATTCCGAAACAATTAAAACAATTCTCTTTACACCATTATGTTCTCCGTTAACTTACACATTAAATATAATTATTCGAAGATAACGCTAATTAGGAAAATTGGCTGACAGTATAAGCTGCTATAAAAACAGAAATATGATAGTAAGCACAAATGTGACTGCTATATAAGTGTTGTACGAACAAGAAGACAAGTTTTCCACAAAACGAAAAAGAGAAAATTGAGACAGCATTGTGATTATAATAACAATGCAAATGCTTTCAAATGGTAAAGGTTGCCGTCGTACATTGGCAATGATTCGAACATTCTATAATAATAACGCCCGCATTATCTCAAAATCAAATTATTCAAATAAATACTAAGCGTAAGCATAAACAAAGAAGGCATTCATGAGTTTTGGAAGTTGCAAATGTGTATTGCAACTGATCTGTTGCTTTTACGTATTGTCGATATAAATAACTGTATTAGTATTTGAGCTTAATTATCAAGCGCATAAACTTAATGAAAGCTACTGATTTTTAAATTCGAATGTATTCCTTCAATCCTTAACGTTAGTCTCCCGGTTAGTATTTTACAACGTTAATCGTGCTCATACTATTTTCCAGTCATAAACTATATTCTGATTATTAAGCGTTATTGTATTGCTTGGAAACTGAGTTGGCCGAATTTGTTATTTACTATTCTACCAAGTAACACGAGATCTTATCAACAGAATTGTATCCTTTCTCACGCGTCTCAATAAACCTTTCTGTGAATGATCAATTCGGACAACACTGGAGTATAAATATAATCGATACGACTGCGAATTTTAAAAATCAACACTGACTTCAATATAGCAGGCGGAAAAAATAAATTCATTATTTTACTTATTCTCATTCTTTGTTAGGTCAGCTTATCGTCTGCATCGCGCAGTAAGTTTTTGTTTTACTCAAATATTCATTCATCTTTCTTACTGGTACAATTAAACTTAACAAGACGACAACAATTTTATAGATCAAATTGCTCCCATGAATTTTCAACCGATCCGTGCTGTATAGATGCGTGCTGTACAGATCCAAACGGTGCGTGCTGTACAAATCCATCTAGTCCGTGCTGTATAGATTCATCTAGTCCGTGCTGTATAGATTCATCCGGTCCATGATGTGGAAGTTCACCCGATACGTGTTGTAAAAGCGATGGAACCATTGATTTGTGCTGTCAAACTCCCAACGATCCGTGCTGTATAGATTCATCCGGTCCATGCTGTACAGATCCAACGGTGCGTGTTGTGCAAATCCAAACGATCCGTGATGTACAGATCCATCCGGTGCGTGTTGTGCAAATCCAAACGACCCGTGCTGTATAGATCCAACCGGTGCGTGTTGCGCAAATCCAAACGATCCGTGCTGTATAGATCCATCCGGTCCATGCTGTGGAAGTTCACCCGATCCGTGTTGTAAAGCGATGGAACCATTGATTCGTGCTGTCAAAATCCAAATAATCCGTCCTGTTCTTCTTCTACTACTACTATCTCTACTTCTACTCTTACCTCTACTTCTACTTCTTCCACCACTTCCACTTCTTCCGCTTCCACCTCTTCCACTTCCACTTCTTCCGCTTTCACCTCTTCCGCCGCTTCCACCTCTTCCACTTCCACTTCCACTTCCACTTCCACTTCCACTGACACTCCTTCCAATTCTGTTAGTATTAAGGCAAAGAAGGAGATATGGGAGAAATTTTGACCATAGTTGCCTCAGTTATTATTGGCATCCATTAGTGATAGTTAATTCGAGAATCATATTCAGCATATACCTTATCAGACGTGTTTCCTTTTTTCTAACTGTTCCATTATCTATACAACTTTTTTAAAGTACAATAAAATCTGGTTATATATTAGTATCGAACAGTATGTTTGATAATTTTGCATTACTATATACTTGTTAAACAGACAACTATTCCTTCTATGACATAATTAAACCGTGGAAAACTATTTATGTCATTGTTCAGTTATAGTGAAATAGTTAAGCACAATCGATGAATATTCACTCAGCGGCGCGTATAGTATTTGAAGACAATTTCCATTACACGCTCGTTAATAATCTCCAATTCTCATCGGTAACAAAATTGTTTATCACGATATTAGCACTATTACTATTTCGATTCTTCGAGTCATGTGGCATTTCTTTTCATATGTTTCTGATAATCATTGGCTAACACTATATACTTCATTCGGTTAGTGCCATGCAGACCCGATTTTATATACTACACTATATACTATGTTTTCTTATTCAATGAATTGCATAGCTATTCATTCCATGCTATTCTATTCTTTTCTATGCATTGAATAGAAACGAAACGATCATAGAACGCAACCGCTTCTACAAGTTTTGCTACGTGTCGTATCTCTTTTTATAATCTCTCATCCACTCAGTTGAATGTTAATAAGCATATTATTTCATGCTTGCCACAAACGGATAAGTCGAATGATCTGCGCCAACCCGCCCATACGTTGAAACTATTGCGCCACAAATGCCAAATCCGCCCATAGCCTGGCATTCACAAAAGACGTCTGGACAGCGTATTAGAAAGGCATACATTCAATCGTTATTCGTTGCATTAGAACAATTATTACCAAAAAAAAGTAAATAACAAGTCCTCAATCGTCTTCCTAATATTCTCAATTATGTATGTCACGAACAATCAATTCACGCTGCCTGTAAAAGTTCCGTATATCTGTATATTGCCAGCCACTATAGTGACAATCTACTATTACTAAACCTTGTATGTATCAATAATCAATAAATTCGTTGTTACGGTCGAACTTTCTGACCCCCCATATGTGTTTACCGTCAGCCACAATACGCAATAGGACTAAACTTGTACGTAATATATTTTTATACCGATATTTTCGTGTGACATATGACCACAAATCAAAACTGTACAACCAGTCCTTTCGAGCATTACAGTAGTATATATTAATACGTATAATATTACCATACAAAAAATTATTTTAGTAACTCATAATTACGGAGTAATTCAAAAACGAGTAAAAAGCGGACATTCAATTTGCGTAGTGTAATATATTCAATTTCCCGAATTTCAAAACTTTAATGTCTAATGCTCACTCAATAAACGAAAAACACCCGATGTCCAACAAAACGTTTGCACAAAAAAGTATGTTTCTCTACTAAAGCCCAAATCTTTTCAGGGTGAGCTTGCCGAAGAGTATGGGTTAAACAAAACATAGTTTTTGATATCTGAAAAAATAAGGAGAAGTGGTGGCTGTCAAACTCAGAGTCAAAAAAGTTTAATAGGATGAGTAGTTGTAGACTATTATTTCCACAAGTAGAAGCCGCATTAGTTATGTGGATTACACAAGCTCTTTCTAAATTTTAACAGGAGATACTCAAGGTTCGACACTTCGCACAGTCGTTAGAATTACAAACGGTTGGCCACGTGGATTTAAACAAAGATTTCAGATATGTCAATAGATAAAACACGGTAAAGTCGAAGCGCCCCTTTGCATATTCTTGAAGATAAACGTATGCGGTTACGTAAGACAACAGGGTTTAAATGACGTTTTTAATAGTGACGAGACTGGTATGACTTATAAACATCAATACGCAATTATTATCGATATTAACAAGATTATTAATTAAGTATTTGCAAAGCCTTGTATTGACAATGTGTTCAATTTTCTCGTTCATTCACCCGCAGGTTTAATTGTGATGCAAGTACTGTATAAACTGTACGCTTTTTACGAAAAGTGCTACATTGCGTTAACAAAAAGAAACAATCAATGCTAGACGATTTTGTCATCAGAATGTAGTTTGTAGTATCACCGAATCTTTTTTCAATAAAACCGAGTATTAAATAAGATAGATAAGATAATATCTTGCAACGATGTTTTTTTCGTAACTTATGTTATCGCTAAAAATAGAATCCCTGGTATTAACGATAACTCGCTATAACGATGAAAATGTGACCTAAGGGAGTATCGTTATTATCCAGTCTTGACTGTAATAATAATAATAATAATAATAATAATAATAATAATAATAATAAATTTGAAGTGACTAGTATTAAAATCATGGGATAACATTTGCATAAAAAATATATCAGTCCAAATAGTATGCAAATAGACAGGTGTGGCTGTGTATAGTTCTGTCACAGAAGATCTACTTAACAGAATAATATGAGGGTTTGTCTCATTTTGAAAGGGAAAGTATTTTATCGAAAAGAAAAAGTATGCTTTAATTAACCAATAACAAAATTTTCTCCAAGAAATTTGAATCAGGAGAGATTTATGTAATGTTAAATAGTATACAACTGTTTTATTTAAAGTTTCGAGTCACTAAAATTATAAGATAATTGGTGAGGTTAATGTTGTAATTGACTTTTAATATCAACACAAACACGTAACCAATTGCTTTCCTCATGAATCTAAACCATGGTTATTTCTTAGTTTCAGGGAAAATCTCCTGTAAGTAAGAGTATTTACTCTACGTAATAATGGTTTTTGCATTATTGTTATAGATAGTATTCCATGTGTTACTATCCTTGTCAAGCTCTTTCCGAACCTTTTCAAAAGTTTTGACAAGTGTATCTGCATCAGGACGCTTATAAGGATCAGCATCACAACACCATTCAGCAATTTTCTTGTATTCCTCTGGTGCAGAATCAGGCATCGATAGCCGTAGCCCGCCCATAATATTGCATATTAAATCTCCATCGAACTGCTTATTTCTAAAAGTAAAAGGCAATTCACCAGTGGCTATCAAATACATAATGATACCAAAAGAATATATGTCTGACTCCATCGTAAATTTGCGGGTGCGGAAGACTTCCGGTGCAATAAAGTGCAAAACGCCTCGAATAGTTGAACTTGACTTGTGTGACTTCACTGATTGAGAAAGACCAAGGTCGCAAAGCATTGGAGTAAGTCCATCCTCTAAAAGAATGTTTCCATGATGAAGATTACAGTGTACTAACCCCACATAATGAACAGAATACAGATCGTCTGCAATCTCCCACGCATGGTAAAATTTAGTCTTCCATGTCAATCTGTTAATATTTTGATCCAAATAAGACAAAAGACCACCATTGAAAGCATATCGCATAACAATCATGTACTCATTTGTTTCTGGGATTTGTGTGACTCCAAAAACAGAAGGAAAACGAACAAATGAACACTTGACATGATTTCTAAACTGTGAAATAAAATAAATATACATATCAAATTAAATATATTTTTAATTAATATGATAATTATAACTTACCTCGGAAATAAATAATTCATACGTCTCATCAAAACGCTTAAACTGTTTGAGTACAATAGTTTCATCCATATACTCTATTTCTGAATGTCTTCTATATTTGGCAGTATAAAATGTTCCATAACCACCGGATCCGATTTCTTTTAGTTCATAAAAGTCTTCATATTGCAAGTACTTAACAAGAAAGTGGTTGTCAAGTCGTATAAACCTGTTCACTATTGCATGTACATCGTGGTAGAACACTAAATAGTATTCCCGAGTAGACGGTTCCTGGGTGATCCCGATTATCCAAATATTGTCTGGTATTAATATCTCTGGGTATTCCTTGGTTAGCTACAAAAATACAATTGTTA